TCGACCTTAAACCCAAGAATCAAAGCGTAAGAAACGTAATCAAAGCGTGCAGCAACCATAGCGCGAAAGCTGTAAACCTAAGGATTTATATCCAACAACGAGAAAGAAGAAACTCATCTTTCAGGGTGTAGTCTGTAGTCGTTCTATTTCAGTTATAGTCAATGAAGAAAAGTGTTTCCAGACTAACGAAGCCTATCGAAAGTAGAGGAACGTTTTAGAATGATTCTCGTGAAAGAAAATGACTAGAGGTATAGAGAAAAATATCCGTGGGGCACGTGGACATGAGAGTGTCGAGCTATTGGATATGTTATGAATAGAAAAAAAATAATAAATATGTGTGAAAGGGAAATAGAGTGTATCAGGATATTGATGAACGTATTCCCAACCGTCCAGATACGCTCTAATATCCCATGTTTGTTACTTTCGTTAAGCTATTTGATGTAGTTGACCTAGAGATTAGTTTCAATCCATTATACCAATCATATTCCCTCTTAGACACGCGAATTCGACATTCCTTGTTAGTTTTAGCTACGCGAGTTAGACTATTTTAAGCTGATGAATACCGTCAATTGACAAAAAACTGTCAAAGGATTTCTCCAGTATCCGGCTTTTCGTTACATACCAGCGCTGGCGTAAATAAACAACGGTTTAAAAAGTCATCGACCCAAGGTTTATAGAGTTAGTGTCAGCTTCGTGGCTTATCCTGACATCTCCAACGATGCTAAGTCGTCACACGACAAAATGAAAAGTCGACTAGGGTAGCAGAGCATTATCTTACTAGGGGGTCTTGGTCTTGTGACCTTACTTCAACTATGATTATCTTTCTTCGCGGGTTACTTTTCTGCTTAGCTTTTTTCTTCTCATTTCATTGAAAATATACTGCGCACTAGTCTGACACCAGGATCCAGTTCTTTACCTCTTTCTTTAGATTTCAGTTTCTCATCGATCCTAACAATCCTTCACCAAAATATTTGCCCGGAGCTCCCTTGAGATACTTTTCACCTGTCGAGATGTTATCTTAGGCCAAGGTGTTACGATCCAAGTGTTGTAAGATAATATTTTTTTTCCAATTTATTTTTATGTGTTACTTATACTCTTGTCTATTGTTTTCTTAGGATGTCGTCTAATGAAGTATTGAATCTCTGGAACTGATGGCTTTGTTTGGAGCGAAAAATTTCTGTGAAATTTATGGAGATTTGAATAACTTATTTGTCATCATTGTTAAATGATGACGTGATCTCCAACATGTCTTGTGATTTTTATCATCAGGTGTTGAGATAATTAGCATTCTTAAGAATATTTTTATCATGATAAATTTTTTTTTTAATTCTCATTTTATCTTGAATTTAATGAATGCATTTATTTCAAGTAAAGTACGAAGAAAAAAATGTTTTAAGAATAATATGTTTGAAGTATTATTATTCATTTATGAAAGCCATACAAAATTTAATGTCAATTGTGGAAACTAACAATAACAAAGAAATATTTGAATAAAATTCCGGAAATGTATTTTTTGATAAATCATTCTCAGCAAAATCTGAATAAGAAATTTAAATTCAGGTAAATTAAATGAAAGAAATATTTCTAGATATTAGAATGGAATTTATGAAATTTTAAGAAATTTCAAATTGAACTAAATCTCAAGAAAAAGGATAAAACATCAAAATTCTGAATAAACTTTTCTAAGTCACAAAAATAATTATCTCTTGACATTCAAGTACTTCCAATAAAAAAAAACTTCAACCATGAAAAAATATCTTTGACTTTTTTTTTGTAACTGCATTACATGCACATTTTTATGATACTTCTTTTTATATCTCGAAAAACTAAACTCATCATTTCTCCAATCCCAAATCCCACTGGATCTTATGAAAACACTTCCAAATGTCGTCATAGTAAAATTGCAACGTTATCTAGCAGGTCTCCTGATGCTCTTCGATCACTAGATTGTCAGTGCAATGAGTATGCAATTTTAAAAAGAAGCTAAAGAGCAGAAGTAAAGCTCTAAAGCGTTAAAATCTTCTATTGGAGCATCCGTTAGTCTTGTAGTTAGCTTCAATTGATTCGCAACGCCTTCCTCTTGGCTCAGCTGCCTTGGGAAAAATACTTGAATTACAAAATCGGTTGGTATATCCCTATATAAGGATTTATATGAATGATCTAAAAAGGTACTCAACAAACTTACACGTCGCTTTTCACTATTATGTAGGATATGGGCTCTTTCCTGTCACTGTCCCGCCACCCGAATTCTTAAAGGGAGGACACGGCTAATCATCAGTAAATGGGACAGAGTCGCGAGCGTACCACACCGGGCCGCGACCAATCTACGCTAACATAGCAGTCCAAGTGTGACGAAATACGTCCGACAATCTCGAGGATTCAAAACTGAATCCTCTAGGGCGCCGCAGCTATTAATGTTCTGTTCCATGGCTCGTGGACATAAAGGATCATAGATTCTTTTTTTGATACATTTCTTGACGTTTGACAGCTGAAAAAAAAATCACAAAATAAAGTCAAATATGGAAGAAGGTTCAGGAAATTTTTCGTCGCGATTTTTGGAGTAAAATTGAAAAGAAAAAATTATTTTTTTAATAAATTAAAAAAAATATAAATATTTTATAGGAAAAACTGAATTCAAATTTTTTAAATAAATAATGAGAAGCATTATAATGAATAAAATGTTAAAAATAGCTTTAGACAGTACTAAAAATAACAAGAAAGGATATAGAAATAGACAAAAGATCCTGTTCTGGTCTTAACACAAAAAAGGATAATGAAATGGAAATAACTTAAAAACACAATACAAAAGAGTTTTCTTCGGTCTGTAAATAAAAGAGTTTAGTACACAGTTGTGTAAGATATGTACTCTTGTACAGTAGCAAAGGCGTTGCTAGCAAGCTTCTATTCATTGTCGAGTAAAGGTAGAGGTTGTTCGTATCAGCACATGAATCCCCCAACATTACGAGTTTGAAATGTATTTTATGCTTAGAAACTGCAGCAGCTAGTTGTAGTATATATAGCACATGAGTGATGTAGCTTCGAGACATACTACTGGCGGTTCTTTTGTTCTTTATGTACAGTAAAACTGTTGTACTACCGCTGTTAGAATATAAATGATGTTAATATCGTTTTATGCTGATCATTTCAATCGATAATGGTTCATTTTTGCCCATGAAAAAATACTCCTACCTCATGAATTTTATCATCAAGAATTTTTTTGCCTTTTATCTTTTTAGTTTATTTAAGAAAAATATTTTTAAACTTATTTACACATAAATACTTTTTCAATAAATTTAAAAAAATAATTAATCAAAAGATAGTTTTGGAGTAAATAAATAATTCCACTGAATTTTTTTAACAAAAAATTTCAAGCTTTTTTTGATGACACCTAGGTGATTTTAGTAGCCTTATTTGTTTAGGAATAACAAAGACTTCGAATCGGAAGTAATTTTTTTGCCTTGACAAAAAGAAGTCAAAGTGTCCAAACGTTTCATTCACTTTTATTTACATTTTGTGGTTGATGCAACCTCTAGAAGCTAAGAAGCTTAAGCTCTAAACTGCTTTTTTATTTATTACAGTTCATTCTTGAAAAGTAAATAAGCTAACAGAATTAAATTATACATCATATGGTATCCTGAGTTACTTAAGAATATCTTGCAATTGAAAAATTAATGCAAAGTTTATTATCAGTATTTTAATATTATTTTCATTCCTTAAGACTTGAGATATGATGATCTAGGTCATATTAAGAAGCTATACCAGTTTGTCTAATAAAGGTTATATAAATAAAAATTAAGAAAATCTGGTGATTGGACTGCTAATGAGTATTACAAATTAACTGTTCTGATGCGAGCAACCAATATTTCATTCCTAATCCGACTAAACGTTTGATAAATCAATAAAAATAATGGAAAGCATGCTCCATGGATAGAATGTATTTCTAGAATACACTGAAAAATTATGTTTTATCATTATTATTTCACAAAATTTAAAAAAACAGACACTTGCAATATCATAAAACAATAGTAAGTACAACCAATAAGTTCATGTATGAGTTGAAATTTAGATGTGAATATTTTTAAATATTTTATAGGTACTGATGTCAATTCTGTTAACCCTTTCAACTTTTTCAGTATCTTCCTTATTACTTTTTGGAGGCATTAAAGTCACCTCTACTTCAGTCATGTAGATAAACAGGTAAAGGGGATGATGTTGTGCCTGCACAGTTGAGAGGCATGGACATAAAAAATTGAGTTAAAACAAGCCATGGTTTATATGACAATTTATGGAAATAATCATCAAAATGATTAATAATGTTGCCAAATACTTTCTGATTGATATTCTCAAAATATGAAGGTAATCATCAATAATTGTATAACTATGACATCATAAAATTTCATTAAATTGATTTTTTAATTCTGAATGATAGAAGCAATCTTCAAAAATTCATGAGAAATATTATAGTAAAACAAAAATAGATTTGATTGTTGATGAATAAAAAGTAAATAAACATTATAAAATTAGTAACTTTAAACCATAAATAATAGAATTAAATAATGTTGAGGTAAATGAAAAAGATTAAATCATTACTTCATTTAAAATACGATAAAGTTACTTATTCTCCTTTATGCATGAACGATATGGCACATGTTTATGTTTATAATGAGAATATGGTTTAGGTTAAGTTCTATAACTCTTCTAAGAATATGTTTATCATGTTTATTTGATAGCATTTAGGACTGATCTTGAGTGAATGATTACTATGTAGACGAAGTATTGTTGGTGCCAGTTCACTAGAACCTTTCATCTTGTAAGGACATATTTTTGAATCTTTGTATTATAAATGTAATCCTGATATTTAAATTGTTTAATCTGTTATTACAATTAATTCTTGAAGATATAATAGAAAATCACATAATACTGATAATATCATTGGCTAAGATTCCTCAAATTATTTTATTTTGAAATATTATCAGCTTATAATCATCAAGAATAATTAACGTGTTACTCAGAAACAGAAATCAAACTTCTTACTGTTGCAAACAAGGCTTGACAGATTTCATTTGTATTGGTAAAATCAACAAAAGAGTCGTTCCCCACCGTGCAGATTTGTTGCTGTATATAATCCGTTTTCCCGCCAGAAAAATAAGACTGTTTGGTTAGTTCTGCTAATTTTTAGACACTATTTACTTCTAACTTGAAAATACATATAAAATAAGGTTAAGTGATGTGTTTTTAAAGTGTTTTAATTTTTATCTTACCACGACAATATATTTAACCCTTCACACTAGAATATTTAGGGTGAATTGTGTATTGGAAATTCACATAACCACAAGGCCATCACTGAGTGTATATGTTTTATGGCAGCTGATGTTTCATGTTACCAGCTTCATTAGAATATTCAGATCAATATACGCAGTTTATATTTTCATAGACTGAAGACTTTTATATATTTACAACAATAAAATAATTTTCTTCGTGATTTTTTGTATATTAGTACAGAAATATTTCAACCTTTAAGTAATTATAGCAGACATTATGGAAGAAGAAATACAAGGAGCATTGAAACAGTTTTTTCAATTTGAATCATTTAAATCAAAAGACCAATATCGTGCTACTGCATGTGTAATGTTGCATATGTTAACAAGTAAAAAAAATTATTTAACATTTTTATTTATTTATATAAAAACAATTAAATTCAAATATAGTAACAAATTTGTTTGTAAATATGTTAACAGAAGATTCAGATGTATTAATTAATTTACCACCTGCTTCTGGAAAGTCAATTTGCTTTCAATTGCCAACAATGTCATACGACGCAAAAATTACTATTGTAATTGTACCAGATGAATACACCGGTGACGTATGTTTTTGTTTTATTAAAATATGATACAATTCTATAATTGTATTGATTACATAATTTTTTTTTTCTAGGAACAAATACATTTTTTAGCTGAACATCGAATTAAAGCATTTTATGTTCATTCAAAAACATGTGAAATTGATATATCGGAATTTCTTGAAGAATTTGTTGAAAATATGAACCTCAAATTTATTTATGTCACTGCAAATATGCTAATAACAAATTGGTTTCAGGTAAATATGTTTTATTTTTGATAACATTACATTTTTTAATGAAAAAATATTTTTTGTAGATGTTAATTCAAGTGATGAATGATTTTGATTTAATTGTATCTATTGTGATAGATGAAGCACATTGTATAAGTGAGCATTATGGAAAGCCTATTCAATCATATAAAGAAATTTCCAAACTACGAGATATTTTTCCTAGTACCCCTTTTATAGCTTTGACTTCAGTTGGCACTGATAAGATCATGACAGACATAAAAAATAATTTAAAATTAAAGAATCCTCGAGAAATAAATCACCCAGATTGGCAGCTTCCACAAGCATACCTTCAAGTACGATTCAAAGATATTATACGTAAACCGTTTAATGATATTACAAATCTTATCAAAAATATCACGGATACTTCAAAAACATTTTGTGGAATTATTGTTTGTTCAAATTGTGAAGATGTTTTGAAAGTTGCACAACAATTAACTGCACTTGGTATTCCTACGACAGCATATTGTTCAAGTAATTACTTCTACATTTATTCTATATGAATAGTTTGGTCAATGTGTACATTATTTTTGACATGAGTAAAATTTTCAGAGGTGGAAGAACATCAAAGAAATCAAAATGAACAAGATTGGATGGCTGGAAAAATAACGATGTTGGCAGTTACACATCATTTTGGAATGAAATTAAGTAAACCCTCGGTTACGTGTATTATTCACTGGACACTTCCATTGACAATGGAGCAATATTATCAATTTATTAAAAAATATACAAGATACAATAATCCAATTCTCTGCAGATCATATTTAAGTCTAGCAGATTGGGTGAATTTTCACAAGGAAGCTATAAGAATGTCTAGTCAAATTTTTAGAGAATATACAAAAATGATAGAGTATTGTATAACTCCTAGGTACGATAATATATTAATCCATTCATTGAATTTGATATTTTACATTCTATAAATTGACATTGATATTTTTATTTCAGGTGTCGACACGTGTTTTATTTAAAATACTTTGGAATTGAAGTAAATCCTTGTGGTAATTCTTGTGATTTTTGTGAAAAAGAATCTTCAGTTAGAGTACAACAAAAAATGTTTCAACAATTTGTTGATCATCATATTTGGTATCCAAAAACTAAAAATTCCTTTACTTCACGAGTTTACAATATAAAACAGACACATTATATAAAAAATCTTACATCTTGGGTAAGTTTATTAATTAATTAATGTAAGTTTGATCAAATATAAAGTATTTTATTAAATTTTCAGCAAAGATGTTTTCAGTGTGATAATTTAAAAAAAGCTCTAATTACAAATTATCAAAATTCATGTAGTGTAAATAAGCCAATCATGACAATTAAAGATTTTCATGATTTTGCAAAACAATTAGAATTCTCTGTATTTGGTACAAGTTTCAAACAGCACACTTATTGTGACAGAATGATTAAATTGGTATGAAATTTATTTCAGTGAAATATGTTATGATAAATAATCAGCAATGAATTTATTCTATAAATATTATTTCTTACAGATAATGAAAATTGAGAACTCAACAAAATCGAAAGAATTGTCTAACTTCATTCTTACTTACAAGTATAGAAAAGGACAGATTCATTAACATAATCAATATTCATACTCATCCACATATCGTATTTGATATTCGTAATTCAGTATAAAATAGCAATAGATTCAATTGAGCTTGTAGAAAAAGAAGCATTTTTACCAAAATTTATTTTAAGATACCTGCCTGTTTAAGAACATTAAGAACATCATACTAGTGATCAATTTGAAATTATTTCTACAGATTTTCAATTGGTCAAGTTTTTTAAAAGACACTGACCATAGACAGTGAAAATTGTACCGAGGCAACAGTACTGGAAAGTTAATAAAGAACAGAAGATCAAGGAAAGAAACATTCCAAGTGATACTGCAACCTCTTAATAACCCTGAGGCTTTGCAATTTTTCAGTGGGATTTATTAGAGCATCATTCTATGGCTTTACGATGCACCTGGTCGAATATCCTTTCCTTTCTTCGACACCTTTCTCGCGTATTCTCTTTCCTTTTTTCATTCGTCCACCAAAGATCTGACTTCGAAGCAGTCTCAGAATTTTTTTCTCTCTTTCACATTTCCTTTCTTCCTATTTTTCTCTCTTTCCCACATACTCTATTCCACCTACTCATCCTGTCTTTTATTCCGCTTTGCTTCTTTTTCTTCTTTCACACACAAGACTTGAACCCGGTGCCAGCTTAGTTAATTATTTTATTCTCACGCCGAGCCGTCAGGTTTGCGCGTGCCTTTCATTAAACTCTCTTTCTCATTTTCTCTTCGTCTACACATCATACAGATCACGTTGACTATGTATATTTTTGTCAATGATTAAACTCTTTTATTTGTTCACTTTTGTTAGCTACAGTTGTATGTAATAAATATTTTATTGTCTCGAAAAGAAGTTATCAAGCCAGAGAGTCTGTTGTTTGAGGTTTAGGAGGATATAAAAAGGATGTCGAGTATATGCTTCACAGAGATTTTATGGCAAAAAGTAGTGGGGAAACCTCGAGCGTGCCAAGACGCGGTCACACTGAGTACAAATATAACAACATAACTCTGACACTTGTACTTATTATTGTGGCTATACAAAGCATCCGACATTTTTTAATTACTTGGATAAGAACCAATTAATGTCACCAGGAATAAATATTCACAAATTTTATGTCTTTCAATTATCTTGGTGAACTTAGAGTATATTCATGTATATATTTGTCTATTTATATGTTGGCTAGAATTTAATCATACGAATATTGATAAAATTATATTTATATTAATTTTTTAATAATAATTTTTACATTCTGAAGCTTTACTTCAACTTAGACTCAATGTCTTCAACCGAATAGTTAATGCACTTAACTATTCTTTACAATAAAACAATTATAATAATTGACTATCATTATTAAATTAATTTATCATCTTTGTAACATAATAATAATTAAAAATATGTAAATTAAAAAAATTTTTTTGTATGAAAAAATGTATCTGTAAAAATACTAAATATTTAGATATTTGACGATTTAAATGTTTCAGTTCTTTAAAAATAATGTAAACAAACTGTTAATAGCTTAAGTTTATAATTATATTTAATTTTAAACTATTCTATAAAGATATTTTATATTGTAAAGTAGAAGAAATTTAATCTAAAATAGAGCTATCAACACAGCTGTCTAAAATGATTCAATCACTAAAACGACTTTACTTGGAAAAAGAATATTTATTATTTCATTAATAAAATTTATTTTTGTAAAACTCATATAAATAAGTGGTACTAAAAATTAAATATGCTGCATCCTCTCTCAATTCACTGAAAAACTTCCGTGCTAATTTTAAGTATAATTATGTCGCCATAAACAGTGTCAAAAAAATAAGCGATTTAAAAGTTGGACGATTTGAATAATAAAAGACAAAAAATTTTGAAATAAAAAGAGCGTATACGCAGCAACATTGGTCGCACATAGAGGGATTTTGGAACGAGTAGTGTGTGCCTCCAAGTTATTTAAATAAATCCCTTTGTCGGTCCGCGCAAAAACCCATTAACCAAGTACCTTTATAGCCACGTGGATACACCGATATGCTATGTTATTGTATTTTTATTTTTTTATTTTCTCATTTTACCACCTTCGTATCTTTTTATTCCCTTTTTTTGAATTCTTAGAGAGACATTTACTTACTGACTTACGTATTATATTACCCATGTGATCACACATGCATATAAATTATAAATCATCAACTGTTTGAGTTTCAAATGCATGTACTTCTTCGAAATTGAATAGCAAAAATTCTCGTTTCCTTTTCGAACATAAAGAGACGTTAAATTTGAATGAGAAGCAAAGTTTGAGGAATTTATTGGACTGTATGGCTGATGAAGAATAGATGAAAGAGAAGACTGAAAGTGAGTCTTTTCTAGTGGAATGTTAAAATGAAAATAACACGACAGAGGTTACCATATGTAATGTTCATACTTGGTGGATAGTGGTGAAATAAAGAGTATACTGCAGCTATGAAGTGAGAAAGATAATGAGAGTGTCAAGGGTCACTTACTTCATATCTCATGGAGTAAGTTACGCGTAAAGCCAATGCCATAATGCATTTCGAATCACCGTGAGCAACTCTCCTTCAGCTACTATTCGTGATAATGCAATCTTTTGCCCTTGAAAATAACTTGGTGTGGTACTCTTTCATGTCTCTCGATAATCCTTGGCAATAGCGTTAAGTCATCAATACTTGTATGATTCTATTTTACTGCGAAAAATTAATTTCTCGTTTTATAAAATAATTCTGGATTTATTCATGTTTAATATCGTTACATAGAGTAATAGCTATTGGATAAAAATTTTAGGAGCGAAGATTTTAGAAATTTTTTAAAAAATTGCCATGCCAGTAAGGTACAAACTATCAGGTTTCTATCAAAAATTATCATTTTTTTTATTAAAAATTAAAAATTCTTCCTAATTTGTTTTAGAAAAGTTTCTCAACTCATCACTTGCACTCGCTTTATAGTGATTGATTCTTTATTTAAGATAAAAATATTAATATCAAGGATGTGAGACAAAGGACTCTGCATTTCATAACTTAACTGCAAATTTCAGACTTGAAAATGTTTTAAAATGACATCAGCCATTTGATTAACATTGTAATCACTTTTAATGCACTTAAAGGTGTTTAAAAAGTGACTTCAATGCTAATTATATGAATGATGTTGTTTTAAAACACATTAAGTGCATTAAAATAAAACACGACGATTTGCAGTGTGATAAAAAAAATTTAGGTGAAGTTAATTGGTAATTTTTTTTTTTTAGTACTCTTAATTTTGTATGAAAATTATTATTTTTTGTTAAGTTCGAAGAAATTTAAAAATTCATTTTATTAATAATAGATATAAATTTCTAAAAGGAATTTTTCCGTAAGAAAAAATTGGGAATGTTTTATTTTAATGCACTTAAAGTGTTTTTTTAAAATAACGCAATTCATTTTATTAATATTATAGTCATTTTTAATATACTTGGAAGTGTTTAAAAAATGACTAAAATTTGAATTAAATAGCTGACGTCATTTTGACACATTTTAAATGCATTGAAATAAAACACTAGGATTGGCAGTGAAAGAGACAATTGGTCCTACATCATAATTCTATTACATGGAAAGATGAAAAAATAACTCAGTACTTATTTTTGAAAACAAATTGAAGTAGATAAAATTAGGGATAAATTGAATATCTCATAAAATTATGAAAATAGAAAATAATAATTAATATTAAATAATTGATGAAATCAATTCATATAAATTTAATTATTTAAATTATTTTCAAATTAACAAAAATATTTTGAAACATAAAAAAAACAGTAACGATGTTAAAAATGATGACACCATTGTGAAAAAATGTAAAAAGTCTAGAAGAAATAATTTCTACCTTTAACATTTCAATTGTGTCTAAATGAACAACTTAGGGATCAGAAACGTGGGTTAGCAAGCTATGAGAACTCTAAGAGTGACTATCCCATGAGCATAATTTAGCTTGTTATGGGTGTATATGGGCACGAGTGAATAGTCTGGGTCTCATATGCAAGAATATCTGGTACGTTGAGGTCTAACTTGAAACGTATGCGAGGTCAGGAGGCCTTCTGTTCCAATTTTGTGCCCAATAAGACTAATTCCTTCAAAGGCACCGCATACCGACTCACTTCATCCTTGACTGCTTGTGCAGTGTGAGATCCCATTGCCAAAATTCCTTCTAAATTATGTGACATTTTGGATTTACAAAAATTATAATCACTTCCCTTTTCATTTAGGCTTGAGTCTTTAGAAATAGAAATTTATTTTTTCCTAAAAAAAATAATAGAATAGAATTTAATTGAAATACATAGTTGCAAAATTTGAATCATAATTAAATTTCATAAATTTTAAATGGGAATGAAAAGTCATTAAAAATAATAACTAATTTTGTGAATAATTGTAACCTTTTATTTAAATAACAAAAAAAAGGTTTCAACTATTATCCAAAGTTCAATATCAACCCCTAATCAAGATCATTGTCAAGTAAACATCATTAGCATTCTATTCTGTTTTTTTTTTAACACAAACCAATAGTTAAATTTTCGTTAATTCAATTGTGTAAATTAGTTTTTAATTTGTATCGTTTCTTTGATAAACAAAAGTAAAAACAAGCTAAATTAAATGTACTCAAGTTTTTATTTAAATCAGTTTAAGTAAAGAATAACATAACAGTGAAGACAAAGAATAACATCCAGCTGAGTTTAGTATAATTCCCTGTGGTCTAACCACAAGTTGGTCGTATAATCAGGACACCATACTGTCTTATTTTAGATCTCATTTTTACATCTTCAAAAAGGGTGACTTAGAAGTCAGAAACTCGCTCAGTTTTTAATTTACGATGCACCAAAGAGCCTCTTCAAAAGGCCAATAATAAGATAATCAGTAAAATATTATTTCAAGTCTAATAAGGTTCTTATTATTCCACCTTATTTTTCTTTCGCTGGAAAGAAAATGTGATAATTTCATTTTTTAGGTACATTTAGACATATTTTTAGTACATTTTATATTTTTTAATTTATTTATTTCGAATTTTGTTTTTAAGAGAAATATTTTTTGTTGTGTTTTTCAATTACAAGAGTTTATAAAATGATAAGTATAGGAGATAAAACACGTGTACATAATTTCTTTCTAATAAAGAACAACATCTCTGAGTATTCTATTATGAGAAAATAAATTTTTTCAACGTTAATTCTGGTGAGCGGTAGGCTTTTTAGTGAATTTTTGACTCTCACAAAAATTCTATTAAAAGTAGCAATTAGTCTAAGTCCTAATAAATCTTGATGAAGGATATCCAAGCATCAGTCGTTGTCAAAGTCGCCCAAGGCGGCTAGAAAACCACTTGTAGACCTCACACTGCCTCTAACACGACTCCTATTTCTTTTTTTCCTCGCGACCAGCAGTCCCGGATTTTGTCCAGAACTAGAAAGACCCTGTGTTTTGAGTAATGGCCGATGGAGTGTCGTTGTTATGTTAAACTAGGTGAGAACCAGGGTGGTATTAGGTCTCATTAGAATTTTTAATGTTAGCTATTTAGTATCTGAGGACCCAGGTTTTCGGTCATTATTAATTTCTACCCCGTCTTTGTTCTTTTCTTTTCACCCTGCTTGGATCCCTATATTTCTTCATCTCCAACTTGGTTGAAAGATCTTATTCATTTTTTCCCCATTTTCTTCAAGCTAAATATCACTAAAAGTATTATTACCTGTATTATTAATATTTTTATAGATTTTTATTATTTGAAAAGAAAATTATCATCATATTTCATCAATACAAATTTGGATGATGCTAACAAAAAATTAAAAACGATTGAATGTTTTTGTTTTAATTTAATAATTACAATATTCTACTTGCATATTGAGATAAAAAATTATTGCTTAATAAGATTTTCTTATTTTATAAATCCAATCAAAAAGATTAATTATATTTGTCTGACCTGACAATTGCTCTGGGTTCAAAAATGTAGTCTGTTTTTGTTGATTACTTATTTTGGTAATTTTATACTATCGTGGTCTCCTCATTTTTTGGCTTTAAAAAATCCAAAAATCAACATTTTCGAGTGTTTTTTTTTAATCTTCGTTTTTACGGCAGATTTACGAAAAAAATTAAGGAAATGAAACAAATGAAAACTTCTATTGGTTTTAGGGCTTTAAACGTTCATGTAAATGCACTCATTCAAATATAGTGAACCTGTGATGTTTTTTTTCATAATCTACACGAAAAACAAACAAATTAAAAAAAACGAAGGAACCGCGAAAGCATAAAATTACCCTTA